CTCATCCTGAGAAGACTCAACGGGGGTCTTAACTGAGATCAGAGGTTGCATTGCTTTAAGCCAAATGACTTATAGTACCTACCTTGTCAAGTTAACACAGCACGTGTTTAAACATATAGCCTACTATAGTGCTTCCCAACTGGTGGGTCGCAGGTAGTGTTAATTTCGACATCAGACGGCGCCGACTTCATTAAGCACTAACTGTGACTATATCTAACTGTGACTATAAATGTAGTTTAAAAATAAAAAAACTTTACCAAAATCTGTCTATATTAAGCAGAAAAAAAGATGTACTGTTTTAACAAGCCTCTATGAGCTTTCGTGCTTGAATCAGTCGAGTTTCAATCCCCCAACCAGGGGCGTAGAATTTAGTAGGGACGCTAGGGACGTGTCCCTACCAATATCCAGTGACACTGATATATCCCTAGCAATAATTTCGATCAAAACTTAAAATATTTATACATTGATGTCCCCGTCCCCACCAATGTCAAAATCAAACCTACGCCACTGCCCCCAACCTTATTAGGAATAACTACCATCGGTATGTTAACACAGTCTCATCCGGGTTACTGAAGTCAGCAACGCTATACACTTGCTAGGAACAGTTTTTCTTCATGGAAGTTTTGCGTTTGGTGAGCTAATAAAATATTAAAACTCAGTCAAATCAATATTTTGTGTACAGTTATTTAATTATGTCATCCAGTATCTCTCTTGTTTCATACAAACGCAGCTGCTGCCATTTTGCGACTATTGTTTTGTACACTGTAATGGATTATAAGATAACAAAACGATTTTAAAACAGTTTGATTTCAAATAAATATCTCTTATCCCTATAACTATTTATGTGGCGAAATGCAGTGTAATAAGTACTGTGGCTGTACCATATCCCTTAAATGTCTAGTTTGAACTTGCTGCTCGCTAGTAACTGCTCTCTCCACTGAAGCTTTGTGTTTAAAGACCTAATAAAATATTTCAACTCAGATCAATATTTCATGTCTAATTACTTATGTGGCAAGTAGCCGTGTAATAAGCTGGATAATGTACATCCAGCCGGTTGTTATCTCAGAATAAACCCCTTCAGGGTGATTCAAGACCCTCATCACCCTGTCTGTGTTTATCCTGAGATAACAACCGGCTGGATGTACATTATCCCTTATGTAGAGTTGGGTGTCTCCGCAAGGCAATGGCACGACACACCAAATCGAATTATTATTGATCCCAAAAGAAGCATGAAACAGAGAAACTAACAGAGAAACTTCTATTAGACAGGAAAGACTGGAACCATTTGAGTACCATACATGTGATACCAATAGAACGCTCCAGCTGAGATAAAAGAATACTGTGATCTACGAAGTGAAAGCGCAATAGATGACAAAAAATCAAGCTCAGTACAATTTTGAGCAAAATAATTGAGATAATCAGTTTAACCATTATACACAGCCCATTGTCATCCCTAGGCGTCATGAAACTGACGCCTTGGGAATCATTTTGACCATGCTTCAATATTCGACGCTTTAGGCACCCTTTAGCGTCAGTTACATGACGCGATCCTAGGGCGTCATCTTGCTGACGCTTTACCTTTAACGTCAGTTAGATGACGCTATCTAATCCTAACCCTACCCCAGACCTAAACCTACCCGCGTCATCTAACTGACGCTTAGGTAAAGCGTCAGTAAGATGACGCCCTAGGATCGCGTCATGTAACTGACGCTAAAGGGTGCCTAAAGCGTCGAATATTGAAGCATGGTCAAAATTGTCATTTTAGTGACGCCTTGGGGTGAGAATGCGTTGATTATACACCATGACTAGGTTTTCACTGACTAAAAAATGCCCAGACTTTTACCCCTGGTTTCACAGACAAGGCTTAAGCCTAGTCCCAGACTAAAATGCGTTGTGCTGTTTTAACTGAAAGCAACTTGCACTTATAAAAATTATTTTAAAAAAATGATAAAAAATATTTTTATAAAGAATTACTTAAATGTCCTGATTAAACTAAGGCCTAATCTTGGCTTAGTCTAAGCCCTGTCTGTGAAACCAGGATTTAGTCAAATAAAATTTGACTAAACAAACAAATAACCAGGATTGGTTGACTAAAAAATTACAAACAAAAAAAAAAACTAAAAAGGGCATTTGACACAGGACTAAGACTAAACCAATTTAAATAAGAAAAAAAAAGAAAAAAGAAACATAGCTGACACCAGTCGCAGGTTTGTTCTGATGGGGGTCAGCAGAGAAAAATATCCTAAAGGAGAAAATGCTCCATTTAGATGGAAGTCGACAATATTGCATTGGCAAGTAAAGAGATTTACCAAGATTAAAAAAAGAAAAATCACTGAGATGATACCAAAGTATGCATGTGCACGAAGAAGAAGAAGATCATGAAGAAGAATGAATTTGCAGTGTATGCTAACAGTCCAAAATCAGTGGATTTGAAGAGGCTGTTGGAGCACTATGTGATGGAGATAATGACAGACGTCTGTTTGATGACCAGGGTTTATTATGGACCCAACAACAGAGAGCCCTGCTGATGGAGGAAATGGACAGCAAATATGTGAATTGTCGAGAAGTCTCTGATTAGGCTCCTCAGTGGCAATGCACTAAATTTAGCCTGGACCCCGGAGGTATGCTGAACGCTTACTCCAAACCACCCACAGAGAAAGAGACATTGCTTGTTTTCGCTGTAAAATGTGAACATACGTATGTAGTGTGTGCCTTAAAGAGCTGTTTCGACATCAGGCTGACTCTTTAAAAGGACGTTCATTGGTGTAACTTAATAAAGGCAGGTTCAATAAGTCTTTAAATAGCCTAGTATTTTTGATTTTTAAAAAAATAAAGTATATAAAATAATTAAAAGCAGTTAAATTAGATGTTGAAATAATCACATGAAGTGTTTAAAGAATTGTTATATTGCGATGAACGACTTGTTTTTGTTACCAATAGATTCATTATTTATTTTTGAGTCACATCTAATTACTGTAGTTTTGTTTTCTTCTGCTTGTATGTCATTTTAACTTCATTATGATTAGTGCAATTTGTCTCTAAAAGTGATCTAATTTAATATTCAGTTTTCGAATTTTAGAAATCCAGTCACAACCATGAAGTTTACAATCCTGTTAAACAGCCTGAAACCTTGGGGACACTGTTTTTATGGCTTCATATGTTGCAAATGGCAGTTGGAGCCTGTCATGTAATGTCCATCACTAATTTAATATAAGGAAAATTTAACTTCTGCTTTCTTGCAGTAAAGCACCCTTTAATGCTTTGAAAACTCCTTTAATGCTTTGGGATATATTGTATACTTTGATAGTTTACTGTATGTTTTACCATTTAAGGTGATGTTTTTATATAAGTCTGTAGAATTACTAACACTGTACATTTTGCTTCTTCACGTCATAAAACGTCTCTCACGTCATAATGCCCAGAGGATGAACATGCAATGTACGCATGCAGTGAAGTCTTCTGAATTATTTACATGCTTTGACTGTGATTCTAATAGCAGTGGAAATGCTGCAAACTCTATTTCCTGAATAGACACCGCTGGCGTCATTTAGATCTGTGAAATTTAATGAACTTGTTCAATCCTAATTTTTCCCATCGACGTGAGCACATGTGTTATACTTCTTGGATAGCTTAATGAAACAACAGCATGCCTTTACCAAGAGCTAGTAAAAGTGTGTTTTATTGCTAAATGTTAACACAATGTTGCAAAAAAAAACTAACTTTATTTCTGTCTTTCTTTATTTGATGATAAAAAAAAATGCATTCTTCATTTGACTTATTTAATGCAATTTGTGTTTTGTTTTGTTTTTTTCAAAATGTTGCTTGTGTTTCTCAACTGGTCACTGATTACATGTGTAATCATGATTTACTGTTTAAGAAACAGGGCATATTCAGAAATTTCAAAGATTATATATCCCACATATGGCACTAGGACACATGTAGCACAACCGAGATTGTAATTAAAAGAAAAAAAAAAACTCAAGTGACTATTTACAACAGCCATGTAAATCAATGCTTTGATTACAGTTCACAGTTCACACTAATGCACTAACAAGTCTTCTAGGTCACTAACAGGGTTCTTCACTCATATGTAAATGTTGGTCACAGGTAGGATTTAAAGGGTTTAATTAAATAGCTAAACTAAATCAGATTTCCACATACTTCATTATCCTTTTGTTGTATCATGTCCCGTTGACTTACTGCAAAGGCATCAGAAACCAATAAACCATAGGATTATAATCGCACCGACATCTGAATTAACACTCTGCAGTGACAAATCAAGCTAGCGATGCTGCCAGAAACAGTTTACAGTTTTCCAAGATATAACAATCACCTTCCCCCACACCCTACAGTGATACTCCTTTAGTAATTTGATATACACCATTTGATATAGTACACCAATTTGATATACACCAGTGCTGAATGATTACCACATCAATGCCATATTCTTATATTATACCATGACATAGGACAAAAAAATCATGGAGTCATCATGAAGAAGAATGAATGTGCAGTGTATGTTAAAAGTCCAAAATCAGTATTTGAAGAGGCTGTTGGAGCACTATGATGGCAATAATGACAGACATGTGTTTGATGATAAGGGCTTTTTCTTGATACAAGAACAGAGATCCCAGAAGCCTCTGATGGAGGAAATGGGTAGCAAATATGTGTATTATCTACATGTAGCCTAGAAGTCTCTGATTAGGCTCCTTGCATAGCCTAGTAGGCTTACGCTCTAACTAACTAACTAACTAACTAACTAACTAACTGACTTTTGTGGTTAGCTACTGAATTTTTATTTTTTTTATTTTGTTTATTGTATGTGTATAGGCTATAATCTTTAACGCCCCAACCACTTTAAGCTTTTGGGGGGTTCTCCAACCTCTCCATAATGTCATGGTCAAGATAAGCTTTGGTACGTCTTTGTTAGAGTGAACGAGAACGAGTGGCTTTGAACGAACGATCTGAAACGGCTGTCTGGCGTGTCAAGAGATCCTCACCTTTGGCGCGCGCTGGTTCCGTCTTTGGCAGCAGGAGCGCGTCTCCGCAGGTGCCGTTGGGGAACTCCAGACTTCCGTTTGAGGTCCCGTTCTGAAGCTGGAGACATGCCCAAATCCCAGACGTATCATTTAGCGTTTGTAAATCCATTTCGGACCTAACCACAACTATTTTAGTAGTTCCTCGCAATCATTAGTCAACAATAAGTGTCTAATGAGAGCGCAATAGTAGCTAAGTGGCTTGGAGAGTAGCTATGTTACGTTTAAAGAGGATATGTAAAAACAAAAAAAAAATGTAATCAGGGAGAAATAGGATTCGTTTATGCAGGTTAAAACGTTTCAGCCGTTGTTGCTCAGCAGTGTGAAGGCACAGTTGCTCTGTATGAGAATGTGATGAAGCGCGCAGCGACAGTGAGTCTCTCGCGCGTGGACCGAGGGTTTATTGATGAGCTCTTAAACAGCAGGGGTGGGAGTTTGGGGGTGTGTCGGTGGGATTCAGGGATTTGAGCATCCTGGAGAGGTGGAGACATTGAAAGGAGTTTGTGGAGTACGTGAGCAAAAGGCTTTAGGTAAAGTTATCAATGAGGCAGGTGGAGTGGAGCATCAGCTCCCTCTTGTGGAAGCAAAACTGGTTGCAAGACGTCGATTTTCCAAGGCTGGGCATTATTTTTGGACACTACTGTATATTACTAAGAATTTAGAATTGCATTGTAATTTTAACTGCAAAAGCCTCCTTCAAGATATATGTAGTGCAGTCATCTGGTTACTTGGATTTCGATATTGTGGACTTGACAGTACCTAAAATGAACACACTCTTTTTACAGCCATGAAATAGCCATGTAAACCAAGTAAATAAAGTGTATAAGAGATATCCTTGCAGACTTCATAGATTTACAAATGAAGGTGCATGTCTTGTTAAAACATAATAATATTTTTTTATTAAATTTATTTCGGGTAGAGTGTGGTCACATAGCAACAGAGAATAACCCTCCAGCCACGGGACATGGTTAAATAACTCACCTTTTAGATCAACCTTTGGCCTTTCAAAGTCCTTCACACACACACTTACACAGCGCTAGATAACACCTGAGCAGAAGCAAGCAGCCACCTCCTTTAGACTGGGACACTGAGGAGACTGCAGCTGGTGAGTGACATACACTTCTTTTCAGAACATACGTTTAAATATTATCTGCTTTAAGGGTACAATCTGGAAAATAGATTCAGAGTCATGTCATTTGAATGTTTTTATCAGAATAGAATAGAATAGAATAGAATAGAATAGAATAGAATAGAATAGAACAGAACAGAATAGAATAGAATAGAATAGAATGTATAATTGAATGTATAATTTGGAAAATATATACAGAGTCATTCCATTTGAAAGTTTTTATCAGAATAGAATAAAATGAAAATTTAACTTACAACTTGGAAAATATATTCAGTCATGTCATTTGAAAGTTTTTTTCAGAATAGAATAGAATAGAATGGAGTAGAAATGTAACTTCCAATTTGGAAAGTATATTTAGAGTCATGTCATTTGAAAGTTTGTATAAGGATAGAATAGAATGGAATGGAATAGAAATGTGACATACAATTTGGAAAATATATAGACTCATGCCATTTGAAGCTGTTATCCGAATAGAATAGAATAAAATAGAATAGAATAGAATAGAATAGAATAGAATAGAATAGAATAGAATAGAATAGAATAGAATAGAATAGAATAGAATAATTTTGTACCCGGACCCCTAAGTTCTCCTTTGGAATCTTGTTGAGAAATGTTATCATGCGACTTCCTGACCCGTTTGACAGCTTAAGTGAAATTCTTGTTTTCAAATTATTTGTACCAGATGAGAAACTTGAAGCAAGTAAAGCATTAATTATTAAACAGCAGAAAGGAGGTAGTTTTAGGCATAATGCGATGGTGTGAAAGCATTACCAGCTCATATAGCAGTCCATGAAGCGTTCAAGTGTGAGAAGTGTACTTCAGCTCTCAGCTGATGTGTGAGGTATTATGTAATTGATATGGCATCTGTGGTGCTTTAATCTACAGCGATGTTTATGCAGTTTTCCCTGGTAAAACATTTATGAAAATGAACAAAGGCTGTAGGCAATCTTGCTAAAGCCTTGGAAGCCTTGATGACGGGTCCTCACATTTGAGTCTACTGTTTTGTAAAGATTTTATGATTGACATTTGTAATTACTAAGATAATGTTCAAGCATTTTAGACCAAAACATAGTTTAAAATAAACACATTCAGCCACTTTGGTAACAATGAACAATTACAGAATCAGAGCGCTCCCTCACTCTCTTAATTTCTTTCTTTCTTTCTTTCTTTCTTTCTTTCTTTCTTTCTTTCTTTCTTTCTTTCTTTCTTTCTTTCTTTCTTTCTTTCTTTCTTTCCTTCTTATTTCATGATCTGTAATCGTAATTGCAGAGACAAGGTACAAGCGTTTTAGAGCAACGTGGACTTGGACATAAAAACAGTTATCCACTTTGTTAACAATTAACAGTTGGGTCAGAGCGCTGACTCTATTATTTATTTATACGTTATTTCTTTCTTTATTTTACACATTCCTGGTATTATTGCGCATGATTAATTGGTGTATATAAAAATCAAAAGGTTAATACATTTAAAAATTGCTCTAGTCATTTAATTTGAGTTGATATCTGATTAAATTTAGTAACTAATTGAATTTTAATTTATATTTAATTAAGAAAACATACCTGCTCTGCCTCTGAAATGATTTGACCTTTTATGTGTTTTTAGCAAATATAACCTGCTCAGAAATATAAGTGAAATACGTTGACGCTAAACCTTAAGTAGATTGGCAGATGCACCCTAACACAGGTCGATGATTATATGGCCTTTGATAATTCTATATTACCCCAGTTATCACCTCCATTTCAAGAACATAAGATTGCATAATCGTGTCAGCTTGGAAGGGTTCCTCTTTGTTTAATCTGCACTTGTCTGCTGCCATTGATTACTAACACCCGTGATTTATCTCACAGCATTTTGTCATTATAACTCTGCTACGTATAATGAGAAATGAAATCGGTCTCCCCTCACTTCATTGGTACATTCTAGATTGTAATCACCAATTTGACCACCAAATGACTGGTATATAATGAATTGTGAGCATCTGATAAGATAACATCAGATGTACCAAGAAGAGCATATTATCACATGTTAGATGACCTTGGCGTGAAGGCAACACTGATCAATCAATGTTTCCAAACAGGAAAAATGGCTGGGCCAAAACCACGAATTATTTCTCTGACCAAGCGAGAGGGACAGGGCTATGGCTTCTACCTCCGAGTGGAGCACGGCGAGGAGGGTCACCTGATCCGAGCCCTGGAGATGGGCGGCGCGGCTGAGCTGGCCGGTTTGAAGGATGGAGACCGCATTATCAAAGTCAATGGAACTTTTGTGGACAATTTGGAGCACAGTCAGGTTTGACATATTGGGACATGGCTTTTCTAAATGTTAAATTAATCTCATGATTGTGGCTACTGAAAGGAAAACAATGTTTTATTCAAAAAGTTTTACCTCGCACTTGACTTTTTCTCGGGTCAGGTTGCAGATTTGGTGAGAAAGAGTGGGATGAGCGTCACATTGCACGTTCTTGGAGAGGAGCCGTATAAGACGGCCAAAGCCAAGGGTGTGAATCTTGCCGACCCTCAGTCCCAGTCAGGTCAGAGCCCACCCACCATGAATGGAGTGTCTGCACCAGCCGCTAAAGCCAAACTTTGTTATCTGCAAAAATCCAGCAGTGGATTGGGTTTCTCCTTAAAGTCCATCAAAGGTAAGCTATAAAACTCCCATAGCCAGATCTTTGACTTACAGCATAACACCTGGTCTTTAATTTGGGCCAAGAATTGACTACTTGAACAAAATAGACCATCTGACCAACATGGGACCATGATAGAAAATTAAATATCAAATGTGTAAAGGAAATTTTGTAATGACTTTTTGCGATCTGAATTTTTTTCCATCCAAAGTACACTTCAAAATCAAGGTTCCAATAGAGGGATTTCACAGCGATTTCACAAAAGCATTGAATCTAGTTAAATTTCACCCTCAGTCTGAATATCTTTTAAAGATTTGCCTCTAAACTGGCGAACCCTGGTAAATCCAGTCATTAGTTCATCCTCAGAAATGCTCATGGTCAGCAAGTCAGGTTGCCAACTCAAGAACGTGTTTTCCAGTGCTGTCAACAGTCAGCAAATGGTCATCTGAGGCTGAGAAAATTAAAGGTTAACTCGTTTTCTCAGGCCTGTCTTGGATAAATCAACCAATATGTTGATAATTGTCTGAAATATTTGGAATGGCTTGTGAAATGAAGTACTAACAGTAGTTATTTGTTCTAACCCTGTTTTCTCTCAGGTACTCATGGCATGTTCATGACAGAAGTGGTGTCAGGAGCAGTAGCTGATCAGGCGGGTGTGAAGATAGGTGATCGTTTGGTGGAGATAAACAGCGAAAATGTTGAGAGTCTCACACATGATCAGATTGTGCAAAAGGTAAGTTAAATTGTCATCCTACAATAATTCCTGTCTAACATTTCCCCTTTGTCAACAATTTTATAATACAGTTGTTTTAGGGTTTCAGAAAAGCTTTAAAGGGATCATTCTGTCATCATTTACTCGCCCTTGTGTCATTCCAAACCCGTAGACTTTCTTTCTTCTCAGAAAAACACAAAAATGTTGATAACCATACAGTTTCGGTTCCCATTCACTTCCATTCTATTTTTTTGACCATACAATGGAAGTCACTGAGACCCGAAACTGTATGGTTACCGACATTCTTCAAAATATCTTATTTTGCCTTCCACAGAGGAAAGAAAGTCATAAAAGTTTGGAGCGACATAAGGGTGAGTGAAAGATGACATAATTTTCATTTTTGGGTGATCTATTCCTTTAAAGAGGCCATATTATGCCCTTTTACAAAGTCTTGAATTTGTTTTTGGACTTTACTAGAATAGGTTATGTTTGCATGTTCAAAAACACATTATTTTTCACATATTTTACATTGTTGCAGCACCTCTCTTCCCAGTCTGTCAGTAATGCTCTGTTTAGTTCCTTCGGAAGCCCCTCCTTCCGAAATGTGCTCTGATTGGTCAGCTGGACCAGCGTGTTGTGATTGGTCAACCGTTTCAAGTGTGTTTTGGAAATGTCATGTACCTTACCATAACCGCGAGTAACACACTACTAATGTAACTCATCCAGGCTTCCCTTCTTTTTTTTTTCTTTTTTTTTTGCATATGCCTTGGGCAGGAATTATATTAATGAAGAATATTGTGACGTGTACGTTACCGGAAGAAAACTCAAGACTACAATTTAGGCATTTCAGGGAGTTCAGAAACAGTGCTTAGTGATAGAGCGAATAAATCCCTTTGGAGTGACTTTGTGCTTTGTAACTTTGCAGGCCTTTTTCATGCTCATACAGCAACATTAAACACTAAAGTTGTAAATGTAAAGTAGTCAAATGGATATGTAAGTTGAAAATGTAAAAAAAAAAAAAATCATAATAGGTCCTCTTTAACAGCTGCCATGCATGCTGCTGAAGACCTTGACCCTAATGTTTTACCCTGCATTACCCCAAATATCAGTGCTTTGAGGAGAATATTATAATAATGTATTCCCTTTGTTATTGTAGGTGAAAGCAGCCGGTGACAGAGTGATGCTTCTGCTGGTGGAGGAGGATGCTGACAAATACTTCAAGAGCAAAAGCCTTCTACCAGGGGTGGCTCATGCCACGGTCAGGCACCTCTCACATAAGCCACGCATTGCAGACATGATCAAGAGAGCAGATGGTTATGGCTTCATCCTGAAAGAAGATCCTAAACGTTCAGGTGAGTGTGTGCCATCTGCCATAGTATATCAACATGAAATACGCATTTACCCTTTTACACGTCACTTAAGTCAAATGTGTTATCATTCACATATTGGCGTTTAGGCCTTGTCAAAGTTAGATGCAGTCTAAATTAAATCTGCTTCAGTTGTCCAAATTCTCAAAATAGGCAATTTTGTGAGCTTTAATTTTGGGTAAATGAAACCTTTCCAAGTGTCTTGTTGGATTGTCTTTTGCTTTCTGCTGAGGGATGTGTTATAGCAGTGCACTTTTTTTTTTTTTTTTAACCAGCCAATGCATATAAAAGTAGTTGTAGATTTGAATATTTAATGTCACAAGCTATTTATTCTTTTTGTAAGTAGTAAGAATTGCATCCTTTAGTCATTTTGCAGATGCGTACTGTGACTTACAGTACACTAATTGCATGGACGGACGTCTCACTGGAGCAACCTAAGATTAAGTGCACTGCTCACAAGGGAAATACAGCAGGATTGTAATGTTCTGGGTCCTGGAAATTTGATGTTAGCAGCCCAGATTCTATTAACCATTGCATTATTACCCTTTTGTTTAGCATGGTGGTGCTAACTGAACTTACTGAGGTTTATTGCAATGTTAGGACAATGTTTTTATGTTGTAAAATTGACATTGCGTAACTGAGGAATTTTGATAACGTACAATGCAAAGCTTATCTACTGTAATGGCTCTATGATGCTATAAAAAGAATTTCAGTGTGAGTTAATACCTTGACAACATGGATATGTGTTGACTAAACTTACAATTTTAAGGCATTATGAACACATACTTTCAATTCTGCTGTAAAGCAGCTCTTAAAAGACAATACTAAACAGTCATTATTCAATTGAAATCAGTTCAATGTTGATACATTTCGTTCCAATACCTGTGTAAATTATGAAACCAGTTCAATTCAGCTAAAATAATACATTAAAATGCCTAAATCGGAGAGTCTATTTACACTATGTGCAAACAGCTGTTGGCAGAGGCTATATTTACACTAACTCCGCTCACCGTTGTCTGATTGAGCCAGACAAAATTGCAAAAGAAACCCATGTGAAAACAGGAGCAGTGGCCTGGAGAGTAAGGCAGGTGGTGTTATAGCTTTGGACGCGCCTTTTCCGAACTCACTCTTCTCCCTTTTCCCATCGCATATCAGTTTGGAGAGGTGTTTATTTGAATGATATTTAAAAAGTGAAAATAGTGCCTAATGGGTATTTAATAGTGAGAATAAAGTGTTTATCAGATAGGGTTTGTCAGAGACAGAAACGAGTAATGTCCAAATAAGGCCGTATCCATTTATGATTTTAATAAATATAATCATATACACTAAATATTTTATTAATGCATACTGTTTTATAATGTATTTCAATACACTGAGGGGCAAACATCTGCCACAAAGTATAAATAGCATCTAACAACTATTTGCACTGGTTACACTTTAGATATTCTACTAACTATAAGTAACTTTTCATCTACATGTCAACTAACTCTCATTAGAGTATCGAGAGTATAGAGCTGTAGTAGACTGTCAGTAGACTGTTAGGTTAGGGTTAGGTCTTACTTGTTAGGAGAACAAGTTGGCTTATAGTTGCCAAGTTACTTATAGTCAGTAGAATGTCTGTTGGGGAGCGTCACAATAAAGAGTTAGCAGATATTAAGCAGACAGTCTACTATTACTCTAATGAGAGTTAGTTGACATGTAGCTGCAAAGTTACTTATAGTTAGTAGAATGTCTAAAGTGGACAATCGAAATAAAGTGTTACCTTTGCACTTAGTGCAAATAAACTACTATTTTCACTTTGTGTAAATTTAGCATTTAACGCCACTGCAAATAGCCGCTGCCTAATTAAATTGGTTAAATATGCATATTTTTATTATAATTAATAGATTATTCCAATACTAATAACAGACTTTGTGAAAAGATAAAGTGAGAAGTAGAAAAATGTTTCAATATATGATTCATGTCATATTTTGTGCCGTATCTCAGGTCATTACATTGGAGAAATAGACAAAGGAAGCCCTGCGGAGAGAGCAGGGCTGAAGGATAGGGACCGACTTGTGGCTGTGAACGGAGAGGAAATCGATAACTGCACACATGAGCAGGTGGTGAACAAAATAGGTAAAGAAGGAAACAAGTGCTGCCTCCTAGTGCTGGATGCTGAGACCGAGAAAATGTACAAATTGGTGAGTCATTTTCATTCAATGACATTGCTGCAATACAGCAATAAACATGAATTTGAATGTACAATGTCTGGTGACTGCATACTTAAATTAAAGTTAAAAATTGGGTACACTTTATTTTAATGGTCCTCTTTGGACATTCTACTAACTATAAGTGACTTGCAACGACGTCAACTAACTCTCATTAGAGTATTAGACTGTCTGCTTAATATCTGATAACTCTTTATTTTGATGCTCCACAACAGACATTATACTACTGACTATAAGCAACTTTGCAAACATGTCAAATAATTTTAACCCTAACACCTAACCCAAACTTAACAGTCTACAAATACTCTAATGAGAATACACATAGTTGCAATTGTATGCATAGTATGTATAATGTGGATCATCAAAATAAGTGTAACGAATATTGTAGTCTTAAATATTCCACTTGCATTTGTTTTATATTATACTTCACATTCTATATTCAATTATTGAATGATACTGTAATGTCAAGGGTGGTGCTTCTCCACTTCTGTACTGGGAGGAAATGAGAGGATCCCTGCCCGGCTATCCTGAGCATGAACCTGCTCCAGCAGTGCCTGCGCCTGTCCCAGCTGTACCTGTCCCAGCAGATTTGGACCGCAAACCCAAACTGTGCCGACTGGAGAAGACCGCCGCTGGATTTGGTTTCCATCTCAATGGCATCCAGGGAGTTAACGGACAGTACATCAAAGAGGTCTGAGAAATGCCCTACACTGACATTTATAGAAAGCTTGTCTAGATCTATTTTTTACAGGTTCAGTGTTTCAATAGTTTCCCTCAATAGGTTCAATAGGTTCACTCATGACATTTCAAACTTGTGTGACTTACTTTCTTCAGCACGACCCAAAAGGAGAATATTTAAAGAATATCGCTGCTGTTCTTGTCCATTTAACCCTTGTGTTATGTTGCGGGTCAATTTGACCCGTTTCGATTTTCATTTTCAAGTTGTTGGAAATACTGGTTAACCTTTGTTTTTTTTCTTGATATTTTGTGACTTTTTCTCATTTATCATGATGAACATGCATGCAAAGTTTCAGCATGCTGATGTGTTTTGACATATACAAACAAAATTACTATTACGTTCGTGATGTTCGCGGGTCAATTTGACCCTCATAGGCAGCCATTCAAAAGCAACTGTACAGACACAAAATAAAAACATTTATTTTCTGTATGTCAGGGCACTTCAACTCCAGTTCTAACGTGCAAGTGCATCTAAAAGTGCGCTAACCCTAACCAAACACACTTGAAAAAGATAAAATCACAGTGTTTAGAATTATTTGCAAATTACAGATGAAAATCTCAGCCCGTTCTCATCCTTTGGCGTCATACATGTGACGCTTTGTACATTTCGTAAAATCTTACGCACATGGCATCCTTTAGCATCAATATGAGACGCAGAACCCAAGGCGTCATACAGGTGACGCTCGTCTAAATCCAACGCACATGGCATCGTTTAGCGTGCATATGAGACGCAGATCCCAAGGCGTCATAACCGTACCCTACCCCAGACCTAAACCTACCCATAACAGGGCGTGTTATATTGACGCTAAAGGATGCCATGTGCGTAAGATTTCGACGAAATGTCATATGGCGTCACCTGTATGACGCCAAAGGATGAGAATGCGTTGGAAAATCTTTGTCAGACACAGATAGTAAAATAAGCTCTCATTTAGATATTCAAGATATCTAAAATACCTAGCTCAGGGTTCCAGACTGCGACCAAATATGTAACTTATGTTCAAAATGAACGAGTAGGCTAAATCATCAATCCATTTTCCAAACCGTGTTTTTGACTTATTCTGAATCAATACGGTACGCCTATAATAAGTGTTTATATTCGGACTATTTTATCCCGGGGTCGTCTCGGCTGCGGAGTAGCCCAGTGCCTGCGTGACTCGCCATAGACATTAACGGAGAGTAGCTCCGTCTACAGTGTTCTTCCGCAAGACACGTGCAGTTTATGTATTGATGAACGTAGACGTCACGCGCATTGCACACTGATTGTCAAACGCGCCAATTACGAATTCACGAATTAAGGCATATAAAAATTATAAAAAATGGTCTCACGAAACACAGAGCCCCTTCCTCCTACGGCTTTTCAGCGGTTATATTTTCCTCTGTCGAGCGATTACTCTCATGATCGCTCGACAGAGGAAAAGGAAATGATTATAAAATGCAGAAGGTATGGAGTGTGAGATTTCTGCTTTGTGTTACAACTATAAACTTTGATAACGAAAAATCTGTATCAGTTTATTATAATACTCTAATTTTTTAAAATGTAATGCATACAGTAGCCTACATTTGAATGTTTAATGATTTTTAAAAGATAGAAAGATGATAATAGACAGATAGATAGATAGATAGATAGATAGATAGATAGATAGATAGATAGATAGATAGATAGATAGATAGAATATGATTCAGATGTAAATAGACAGATTGTATATAATTCAAATGTAAAATGCTTAAAATTACAGATTAAAATTACTGTGCAAAATCCATGAAAATCCTGAAATTTGGCAATGATAATTAATATATTACAGGTATTTCTGCTGCAACCCAGAAAGCCTTTGCTAGCCTTGGTCCATTAAAACCACTATTCATCAGCATGCATTGATTAATCCCATGGCATGTAGCAAAAAAAAAAAAAAAAAAAAAAAGGTGTGACCAAATCATATGCTGGTGCGACCAACTGAGAAAGTTGGTAGCACCAGTGCAACCAGTGGAAAAGTTAGTCTGGAGCCCTGTAGCTTTTAACCAAAACTTTTATGTAGGATTTTCAAAGGCAGCTTCACAGAGCCAAAAAATTAATAAAAAAACATTTATTTGATGTATGTTTTTGTTATGTTTGGTTTCTCACTTCCCTGTGAGTGAATAATGAAACTAGGGAACTAGGTCTTAGGAAACTAGGGAAAGTTAACTTAGGAAAATAAAAAAAAATTCATTATACAGCAAAATGTTATTGTTCAGTTACGATGTTCAAAGCATAAAATGTAAAAAATAAAAATAAAAAATAAAAAGTAAAAAAAATGTATATGCAAAAAAAGTCCGTATACTGTTTATTTTCCAATTTTGTCAAAAATTGGTTTAAAAACATTTTTAAAAATCATATTTTCAGATATAATGTTTTTGTAATGTTTGACAAATGTTGATATTAAAAGTTTACAGTTTGTATCTAAATCTTTGTTGTTTTTCATAGTGTGATTTTTGAGGAATTGTATTGAATCCAATTAGGGTCAATTTGACCCGCTCCATAAAGCGTGTACACAGAATTTGAAAGTGAATTGGGTGTGGTGTCTGTCAAGCTCCAAAATATCAGGAAAGCACCATGAAAGCATCATAAAAGTATCATAAGTGTTGTCCCAAAACCATATAATCCAAGTGCCATGTACTCAAAATAGTTATAAATTTAAGATTTAAAATATCCATCCATTTGGATGGAACATTAACTATAATAAACTTAATGTGGTGCATATTTGTCTGTAATACATACATTAAACAGGTAAAAAAAAAAAAAAAACTCGAAAATAGGTACGATTTCTGTAATAGTATTAATCAACTGAACGTGTTTTAAATAAACAATAACCAAGTTTATACATTTATCATCACAAACCCAGTTTATTATAATCTCACATATTTTAACTAAACCCCTTAAGTGTCACGGGCCCACCGGTGGGCCCAAATTCTTTACATTTTTAAAACAGTAATATCCTATACTAAACCTAAACTAATCTTGACAAACTATATATCATTTGAAAGCTTACAATCTCTAGTTTCCATATTTGGTGATTGATTTTCAAAATAAATTACAGAGGAGCCGTAATTTATCAATTTGCAACAATAATATTTTCATACTCTTAGACCTTTATTTTGAAATAGTGATGAACATGAAAAATCATGAAAGAAGGGTAGAAACCTCAGTTTGTTTTCATTCCAAGAGTTCAAAAGATAGCATCCATTCAATTATAAAAAAAAAAAAAGGTCTGAATTTTTTTTTTTATATAAAGAAAAAAATTATATGATGTGGCAGGAAGCTAAAACGCACATGCGTGTTCTTTTTATGTTTCTTAGAGGTTGAAATCATATCAAAATCTGCCAAACTTCTCATATTACTTCTGAATAGGATGTCTACTTCATAAATTGTATGAAAATTGTGGAAATAATGGTTCATATCACTCAAAACACATATGGAAATGGAGGCGCCCTTATATGGGCAGTGATGGAGTCTGGTTGTCATCTAGTGAAAAAGTTTGGTACTGCGCCAAAACAAAATCTTACTGAAAGCTCATTTTTTGAGATATCAACCTAAAATTTGAAACACAACTTGTTCAGATTTTTGGCTTTGATTTTTTTGCAGTTTTAGAGTCGCCCAGGTTTTGAAAATATATATTTTATATAAAATATGAATAATTCAAAATTTTACATTGTACATTTTCATAAACACAAACTTCTATAACTTTTTTTCTGTTTCACTTTCTTAATTTATTTCACTTCTACAAGAATCTGCCAAATGTCTTCTTTAAAACAAGACCAATCTTACGTCGATATTCCAAAGCATTCTTGAATTACAACCATTTAAGTTCGAAATGTGCATTTTCATGTATATTCAAAAAAAGGGGGGTGACACTTAAAGGGTTAAATAGTGCTCATTCTACAGCTAGCCATATGTTCTTACTTGTTAAATGAATACATGTAATCGTTTTCATGACGAACAGAATTATGCTGGTTCAAAGCTAAATTAAATGCAATTTGAAATTATGATTATTTAAATAAAAATCTGTTTTGTCTGAGAATCTGAAATTTTGACTGCAATTTAAGTTGTTATTCACTTATAAGCTATGATACGTGTATTAGTATTAGTATTTCAGTAGTATATGGAGAAACCACTTGTATGATATTTTTATTGTAATTTTGCCATTTTGGAGTTTAATAGACTCGCTAGGAAAACAAATTTAAAATGATCTTCACAAATATCCTTCAGATATAGAACATGAGGGTGAGTAACTGTTTTTCATTTGGAGAAAAATAATCCTTTAATGAATTTGTCTGCCAGGTGGTGAAAGGTGGAGCAGCAGACAGAGCGGGACTGGAGGATGAAGACATGGTTGTGGAGGTGAATGGGGTGAACGTGGAAATGAGCACACATGAGGAAGTTGTTAGCCTCATCCGCAAGAGCGGGAACACGCTGGTCCTCTTAGTGGCTGAGAGGACAGCCTATGACCACCTGAAAGCACAAGGGATCGCCATCACCCCTCAACTGCTGAATAAAGAGCCCTCCGCTGATGTCCCAGCACCAGCTTATACACAAGAGGACAAGAGGAAAGACACAGAAAGTGACAGTGAAAGACCAGCCACTCCACCAGCTCAAACCCGTTCAAGGGTCAGTACTGCTTTTCAACATTTCCCATTCTCAGCAGACAGAACTGGGGTTTCAACATTTACAATATACCTCACAATACTTTTTTCCCCATTCTGTCATCTTTTACTCACCCTCATGTCATTCCAAACTTGTTTGATTTTTTTTTTTCTTATATAAGAAAGTATTGGCTGCTCTTTCCCATATAATGAAAGAGAAGAGGATTCTGGGTTGTTGAGCCCCAAAAATGTATTTCTAAAAGTAGTCCATACAAAATATGTGCTATATTTTAAGTTGAATATGTATTTCTGAATATGTATTTCTATCTGAATATGCTTTTTGTTTGGAATGGCTTAAACGTAAGTGAATGATGATAGAATTAGAATTTTGGGGGTGAACTATTCCTTTAAACTGATTCATTTAAAAGTTTGGGGGTCAGTTACTTGTTTACTCAAATGAATGCTGTCTTTCTGTTCATCAAATAATTCTGAAAAGACAATGATTTCCATAAAGTTAGATTAGATTAAGAAAATTAGAAGATTTCCATATTAAGCCTGTTTTTTTTTTCACAACTGTTTTTATCTGATAATAATAATGTTTCTTGAGCATCATATTATAATGATTTCTGAAGGATCATGTAACACTAAAGACTGATGATGCTGAAAATTCAGCTTTGCCATCAAAGGAATAAATGACATTTTAAAATATATTTCAAATTTTGATCAAATAAATGCAACCTTGGTGAGCATAAGAGACATCAGAAAAGTCCCACAAACTCTTGAACAGTATATTGTGTATTGTTATTGTATTTGTTTTGTCATATTCTAAACCTGAGTTATATCTATACTATATACTATATGACTAAATCCTAAAAAAATAAAATCCTAACTCAAGCATCTATCTTTTCACCCTAGGCTTCTTCTTCTTCTTCATCATCATCATCATCATCATCATCATCTTCTTCAGCATCAGATGCGAGTGAGGACGAAAGACTCTGAGCACACTACACTTTCCTGTACCAACAGATACTTTTAATAATATCACTTTATTGTAGTGTCCTTGTTAGACATGTTACATGTATACTTACTATATAGTCATAACAGTAAATTATGCATAATTACATGCAACCAGCCCTAAACCAAACCATATAGTAAATACGTGTTTATTATATTACTCAGTACTTAAATATATAATTACACTGTAACAAGGACACCTTAAAATAAAGTGTAACCCTTTCAATACTGTGATTTAGTGACAGGTTGATGCACTTACCTGATAAACTGCAGAATCTATTAAGAGAGGAAATGCCCATTTGAACAAGAGACTGTAAGAACATTGATTAAAGAACTTTAGTAAGGATATCAAATACAACAGATTATTTCTGTACTGCTTTCATTGGGATCTACAACAACGACAATCTATTTAAACTTGCTTTAATACCCTTTTGATGCATGAGATATCAAATTATGAGCAGTTACAGACTTTCAGACAATGCATACTTCTTGATGTGTAATTTATTGTACGGGAATTTTTTTTTTCTTTTTTTTTTCTGGTGGATGCCTATTGAATAAAACCTGCTCTGTATTTGGTGCAACATCAGTAACCCATTCTTTTCATTTTAAAGGTGCATTTAGCAAGTTCTTTAGCAAGTGTTGGCATCGCTGTTTTTCGTGTACCAATTACAGTGTTGTAAGACAATGTTTTATGCAAATTACACTGAGTTTCAGAGAGCAATCTACACAATAATTAAAGCCGGCATGTAATTGAAGTTGCGACAGTCTTTTATTCCATATTGTGACGTATCTTCGAGTTAAACATTGGACTTGATTTTGTCCATTGGGAATTGATTGGATGGTTGTGGTTTGCTATTGGTCGATCTCATGTGTGACAGGTTGGCCCGCCCTCACGCTAGTAAACATGTCATCAGAGAAGAAATATTGGTGCAAGAGGGAGGGGAAGTTATTTTGATTACAAAGGTACATGAATTTTAAAACAAATAATGAGTTGGACAGATAAATCGTTAAAAGTAAATACTGCAATTTTCCATAAAAATAAATAAGAATTGACCATTTTGGAGACTTCAATAGTACCTGTCCCAAAAAAAAAAAAAAGTTTGTGTCTGCCATACTGAAGTTTAGACTCGTTTTTGCTTTTGTCCGTGTTCCAGTGTTTAGATCTTCTCTGCTTCTGTGGCTGTACAGGTACTGATTCTCCAATTGTCTCCACTGGTAAATCATGAATAAGTGTAGATGGGTTAACACCGAATTACCGTAATTACCAGATTTCAAGCGGTCACTTTCTCGTAGAACTCGTTATTACAACTTGTAAACGGAATTTTCTGAGAGCTCCAACTTGTACCTCATGACCGCTTCAGATTCATTTTGCTATAGAAACCCATAATTTCGAGTCCGAGGACGTGAACTGCTCCGAGTAGAATGTCAAAGGTCGTCATCTAGTAATTACGGTAATTACAACGTGTGTGAATGCAGCATATGCTTTGTTGGCTGCATTCGAAATAGCATATTTCCTTGCTACAATAATCCCCAATCCTATTCTTGGAGATCTAACTTCCTGAAAAGTTTAGCTCCACCCCTGATCAAACACAACTGAACCAGCTAAATAAGAACTTCAGAAGCACTTGATAATTACAGGTGTGTTGGAACTGAACTCGGCAGGAAGGTAGATCTCCAGCAACACATTTGGACAGTACTTCCAAATTCACAGTACTCATAAAAGAGTAGGCAAAAAGAACCCGGATGTCCTACTTCCGACGAGATTCTGAAATGCACATATGATGGACACTACTATCCCATGAGGCCACGGGAGAGGAGTTGTGAATGGCAGTGAAGCGGCGCAGCTGACACTGGTAGGTCACATGATAATGACAACATGGCAAATGTATTACATTCATACTACACATATTTCATACAGAACGTACATTTTTTGTGCTTGCAAAATAAGTACTTATTCAAAATAAGGAACTACTCAAGAGAGTAAGCGTTTTCAGATGCAACAACTGCCTAATTTTCACTCTTCACATCACCGAACAACACTTTGCTACTAGCATATCTACAGAGGTGGCAGCCAATAAACGTAAGGAATCTCTGAGACATTTAGAGAAACATCACCGGTCACGTCACTTCAAAATGGTGAAATACGTTGAGGGGAGAGACCTGCAACATATTTAAAACACTTTATCTCCTAATATGTAAAACCTTTTAAATCAGCACCAAACTACTAAATACACCTTTAAGAAACAGTGGACATGTTTGAAAAGCCTTTTAATTGAATTCTGAGCTGACTTGATTTGAGCATAAACCACAGACGGTTACATCTCTGGCACAGCCTATTTAGTAAATCAAAAGCACCCGTCCATCTAACAAAAAAGAATAACACAAAATAGCCTAAACTAACATATATGCCTGCATGATTTCAGATTATGACTCTCACTCACTCTATACAGTATCAACATGTGAATCATTCTTAATGTCCCTGGACAAGACATGAAATGATAGTAACGATTAACAGGCTTGTAAGAAAAACAAGAGTCCAACAGTCCACTGTAACATCTCTGGGTGTTGCTGAGATATATACAGTATGTGTTGTCTATTAATGATAAAAGATGGTTCGAGGCTGATTTCATGCCAAACAAACTAGTAAGACGGGTTATTTTGGTCACCTACCGTGGAAAACATAACACCTGGTATGGGAATTTTTATGCTCTTTATAAAAAATTACACCAATATTGTATGCAATTTTGTTCCCTCCAATAATAGCATCACAGTCTTTAAACCCAAAGTCAAATAAACACTGTCTCTGGGCCCCTCCTGATTCAGGAAATACAGACCCAATAATGCTCATTATAGGATAGAGGCATGAAAGTCCTTCTAAAAGGAGAGGCAAAAGAAAAGGCACATTTCAGTCCTGTGCGTCTGTCTCTCTGATGAGGTCACAGGGTCATGTGCTTCTCAGGTGCCTGTTTATGGGCCAGGTAGAGGAAGAGGATGCTGGAGAGAGCGCTGACCAGGAAGATGACGTCAAACCAGCGGTGGTAGAAGTTAAACTGCAGTTCTCCCAGTACCTCAGTCACTATAGTGCGGTACTCTAAAGGCATGCTCATCCGCATCAGGAGCACCGACGACACAAAATACATGCCCTACAAATAGACAGCAGAGAGAGAGAGTGAGATGCCACACCACTTTGTGTATAGTAAGGATTTACAATACTAACAGTTGGGAATCAAAAACAGTTGCACTTTTCAACAATACTGGAACCAAAAGTTGTTATGACTTTTGACTCTTTTAATAGTTCTTGAACATATATTGGTAAATTAATTTAGAATTGGAACCAGGAATGTTTCTTTATGATTCCTTTCACAATATATGGGAGACTATATTAGTTTCTATCAGTCATATATTTTTTTCATGAGATAATATTGATTATAACATAATATTAGACTATTTTCAATTTGCATATACATAATATATGCACATATATATACACTACCGTTCAAAAGTTTGGGGTCGGTACGATTTTAAATACTTTTAAAAGAATTCTCTTCTGCTAACCATGGCTGCGCTTATTTGATTAAAAATACAACAAAAATCAGTTATAGTATTAAATATTATTCCAGTGTAAATCAGCTGTTTTCTGTGTGAATATATAGTAAAGTGTAATTTATTCCTGTGATCAAAGCTGAATTTTCAGCATCACCAGTGTCAGTGTCTTCAGTGTCAAATGATCCTTCACAAATCAGTATAATATGAGGATTTGATGCTCAAGAAACATTTATTATTATTATCAATGTTGAAACAGTTGTTGGTCTGTCAGTTGTACAGTTTTTTTTTTTTTTTTAGGATTCTTTGATGAATAGGAAGTTCAAAAGACTTTTGTAACATTATAAATGTCTTTACTGTCACTTTTGATCAAATTAATTATTCCTTGATAAATAAAAGTATTGATTTCTTTCCTCCAAAAAATAAAAATACAATTCTCACTGACCCCAAACTTTTGAACGGTAGTGTATATATATATATATATATATATATAATTAAATCAGTTATCTATTATTTCTGCTGCACACTGAACTGTTTTTACACTTCCAGAGTCAGTACCGTAAAAATGTTATGTTTTTGAAAGAAATCTTTTATGCTCGCCAAAGCTGCATTTATTTGATAAAAAATACAGTGAAAAACTGCAATATTGTAAAATATTACATTTTTTTTTTCTATTGGAATATATTTACAAATATAATTTATTTCTGTGTTGGCAAAGCTAAATTTTCAGAATCATTACTCCAGTCTTCGGTCACATGATCCTTTAGACTAATATACTGATTTGCTGCTCAAGAAACATTTCTTATTATTATCAATGTTGAAAACAGCTGTGCTGCTTAATATTTTTGTGGAAACTGTAAAACTTTTTTTTTTTTTTATGAATATAACGTTCAACAGAACAGCATTTATTTGAAACCGAAATCATTCGAAACACAAATTTTTTTTTTTTTAAAGATATTGACATTTTTGTTCAAGATTATTTGATAAATAGAAAGTTCAAAAGAAAAGCATTTATTTTAAATATAAATCTTGTGAAACATTGCAAATGTCTTCACTGTCACTTCTTATTAATTTAATATAAATTTTGTGGATATATATATATACACACACTCACCTAAAGGATTATTAGGAACACCATACTAATACTGTGTTTGACACCCTTTCGCCTTCAGAACTGCCTTCATTCTACGTGGCATTGATTCAACAAGGTGCTGAAAGCATTCTTTAGAAATGTTGGCCCATATTGATAGGATAGCATCTTGCAGTTGATGGAGATTTGTGGGATGCACATCCAGGGCACGAAGCTCCCGTTCCACCACATCCCAAAGATGCTCTATTGGGTTGAGATCTGGTGACTGTGGGGGCCATTTTAGTACAGTGAACTCATTGTCATGTTCAAGAAACCAATTTGAAATGATTCGAGCTTTGTGACATGGTGCATTATCCTGCTGGAAGTAGCCATCAGAGGATGGGTACATGGTGGCCATAAAGAGATGGACATGGTCAGAAACAATGCTCAGTTAGGCCATGGCATTTAAACGATGCCCAATTGGCACTAAGGGGCCTAAAGTGTGCCAAGAAAACATCCACCACACCATTACACCACCACCACCAGCCTGCACAGTGGTAACAAGGCATGATGGATCCATGTTCTCATTCTGTTTACACCAAATTCTGACTCTATTCGAGACTCATCAGACCAGGCAACATTTTTCCAGTCTTCAACTGTCCAATTTTGGTGAGCTCTTGCAAATTGTAGCCTCTTTTTCCTATTTGTAGTGGAGATGAGTGGTACCCGGTGGGGTCTTCTGCTGTTGTAGTCCATCCGCCTCAAGGTTGTGCGTGTTGTGGCTTCACAAATGCTTTGCTGCATACCTCGGTTGTAACGAGTGGTTATTTCAGTCAAAGTTGCTCTTCTATCAGGTTGAATCAGTCGGCCAATTCTCCTCTGACCTCTAGCATCAACAAGGCATTTTCGCCCACAGGACTGCCGCATACTGGATGTTTTTCCCTTTTCACACCATTCTTTGTAAACCCTAGAAATGGTTTAACGTGAAAATCCCAGTAACTGAGCAGATTGTGAAATACTCAGACCGGCCCGTCTGGCACCAACAACCATGCCACGCTCAAAATTGCTTAAATCACCTTTCTTTCCCATTCTGACATTCAGTTTGGAGTTCAGGAGATTGTCTTGACCAGGACCACACCCCTAAATGCATTGAAGCAACTGCCATGTGATTGGTTGATTAGATAATTGCATTAATGAGAAATTGAACAGGTGTTCCTAATAATCCTTTAGGTGAGTGTATATATTAGTGATCGACCGATGTATCGGTTTACCGATATTTTTCCCGATATTTAAGCATTTTCCCATAATCGGGTATCGGTTTTGTAATATCGGATTCGCCGATTAATGGCGCTATCTTGTGGCCGTTTTGAGAATTCCGCCATTGCAGCCCGCGTCTGAGGAGATCAGTCAACAACAACTCTGTGCACAGGTAAGTATATGTTCTACTTGCTTTGCTTTAATTATTGAACTTTATTTAACATAACAGACATGCAGAAATGAGATTTGAGACATAAATGCCTGATATAGTTTATTTATGCAGCTTGGTTCTAAAAAATTCAGACGAACTCATGGAGTCACGTAGCGTAATCCGTCATGTCCTGCCCCAATAAAGACGTAACTTTACATGAATTAAATAAAACAGACATGAATGAGTGCATGTTGAAAATAAAAGCGCTGAATTTAATTCTCTATCTGTTGTATTTGCTCACCATTAGTCTCGGAAAAAAAGTTCGTTCATATTGCTGAGCACTCACTGGGTTGATGATCAGGAATGTTGAAGCACGGCCACTGAATGAAACTTTTGACAAGATTATCTTGTTTAAACACCCTAGATTAGGCTATATGATCATTTACTACATAGCAATTATTTCGCTAATTCACATCTAAATATACCGCTTTGTGGAAATTAATTATTTATTATCTGCACGCGCGATCGCGGTTGAGTAGCCTAAGTTATAGTTCTGTGTAAATGCATAGATAAACAGCACTTTGTCAGAAAGCATTTCATGATCTAGACCGACAAAAATATTATTAATTATTTAATAACATACGAGTTGGAAAATGAAATGATGTATATGCTGTTTTGTTTGTTACTTTCCTGACAATGTTATAGCTAATGTTATTCAGTGAATCAATATTACCCAGTGAATTATTCCTCATTCTTTAAACCTATTAAACGGCACATAAACCTTCTAAAACTGTTTAAAATGAATTACATTTCTGCAAAGGTGATATGACTCCCCTGTCAATTATTTTCTCCATATGAAAACATTAGACTTTTAAAATTTATTTTGCCTATTGTTAACATTGTTGCTGCTGATGCTTATAAATTATATGTATAATTTAGATATAAATTATATAATGCAAAAATAAAGTTACACTACTAAAATAGCTATGCAAAAAAAAAAAAAAACAGGTAATTTAGATTTTTTCCCCCCAATATGTTAGAATAATTTTTGTGCTTTATTTTTTACCTCAAAGCTTTTATTTTTAAACAAAGACACTTGTAACAGTGCACTTTATTTTATGGACTTTTATTTTTTTGTATGCAAGGAGGGAGTGATTGTTATAAATAAAATGGTTTGTCCAGTTCATTTGTGTTGTAATAATTGTGTCAAAAACAGAAGTATAACAATAAATAAATATCGGTTCTGCATATCGGTTATCGGGCACATAAACATGCAAATAATCGGTATCGGTATCGGTTATAAAAATCAATATCGGTCGATCACTAGTATATATATATATATATAACAATTTTCAATGACTGTAATGTATAAATAATTATCAGTATTGGCCAAACTTCCGCTGATGTATGAATGTGTCTTAAATTAACAAAAGTTGTCCTCCTAAAATGGTGCAGTTATTTCTGGTCTATTTTATATTATGTCTCACCATGATCTGAGCCAAGACGAGCACAATGACATTGGAGGACTTGCTGCTGGAGATGGCATAGAAAAACTGTGAACAAAAGAAAGAGATTACCCAAAACTGCTTTTTATGAGCTTTGAACATCATTAATGCTTCTCAGAAACTGAATTCGGCCAATACCATGTTGCAGTTGCTCAAGGATATAATCTTCCCCCTTTACACCGGCTGAACCAACACGCCTACGCAGATGTAATACGTGACTGTTTTCCCTTAAGTGATAAGACTGAATGAGAAAAAGAACAAAAAAAACATGTTCATCCTTCATTACCTTGGTGAGTGTGATTAAAAGGCCTCGTATGGACGTGACTATGATGATTCCCACCAGGATAAAGGAAATGTGCTGAGACCAGAACTTGACCTGTGGGAAAACAGAGGTTTAAGTTCTTCTGCACATAAATTAAGAGGCTTTATCCATTAGAAAAGGGATGAGCAGCATTTGCGCTTAGCAGTAAAAAGCGAGAGTGAAGCCGGACCAAGATTACATGTTTAAGAGGCTGAATCATTACCTTCTCATGGGGAAAGATTAAACGTCATTTAACAGGCTGGGGAACAATTAACTGCCAACCAAAGCAGTAAATGTCAGCTGACACAGCACACACAATCACAGCCTGCATATACAACCGCAGTCATGAGTATAAAGTCTATTAGGGTGGATACTAGTACACAGCGATTATGTATATGAGTGTGGAATAACAAATGTAATCATTTACTATCATTAAAAAAAGTAAACAAACAACTGGTGTGGTAATTTGTCCTGCTGTGACAATGCGATCTGATCTGTCTGATCAGTTTTATATATTGGCCAATAGGAGGCAGAGAAGCACAAGAAGATGAAGAGACATTAAAAATGTAAAAGTTAAGGGATGATTTATGCACCTCTAGCATCACCAAACGTTATCCTTGAAAAAAAAAAAACATACACTAGCATTCAAAAGTTTTGTGTCAGTAAGATTTAAAAATGTAAAAAGTTATTAAGGATGCATTAAATTGTTTAAAAGTGTCATTTATAATGTTACAAAAGATTTCTAATTTAAATAAATGCTGTTCTTTTGAACTGAAAAAAAAAAATTGCCTCACCATATCCACAAAAAGTTTAAGCACAACTGTGTTCAACATTGATAGTAATAAGACATTTAAGAAATGTTTCTTGAGCAGCAAATCAGCATATTAGAATTATTTCAAATATGGCTGCTGAAAATTCAGCTTTAACATCACAGGAATACAATACATTTGAATTTATATTTGAATAGGAAACAGTTGTTTTTAAATTGAAATGATATTACACAATATTATTGTTTTACTGTATGTTTCATCAAATAAATCCAGCCTTGGTGAGCTTGAGAGACTTTCAAAACATAAAAAAAATTATCTAACCAACTCCTTCGCAATCCAATGCGGAGTAACAAAATTTGAGCAAAAGTAGAGAAAGATAAAATTAAGACTCAGTCTAATGGAGATTTAGTTAGCCAAAATATATAAAGCAGTTTAAGTTAATGGTGATAATAACGTACATCAAACTGAATTCCGAGGTAGTTGACTGTGATCTCGATTCCTCTTGTCACCGGGTCAGTCTTCCCAACACGGTCAAACACTATGTTTATAGTGGCCTACGAAGAACACATTACATCACTGATTGAGATTCATTCTCACAAAACTCTATAGTACATGCCAAACATAACATGAGGAAACAATTCTTACCATGAATATTTTCCACACACAGTAGATGGAGAAGAAATACCCCAAGAAGTTGAAGTATTTCCCTTGAAATGTTTTTGAGTATTCTATCCGTTCCTTGGGATACAGGGACATAAGACTGTTCATGTAGTGCTTTTAATATTTATTTTTATTTATATAAAGGGCTCCCACATATTTCGACCAACATTTTTTTAATTACTGGATATTTTAAAGCCAATCATGACTAAAAAATACTTTATTCAATTTAATTAAGTTGTTTATCCATTTATTTTTATGATTTGGTTCATTTCCATGCCTGTTCCATTTTAAAAGACTAAAACAAATCATTTCAAATCATAAGGTTGCGCTACAAATAATCCTTATCCATCAGTTTGACTGAATGAGCTGTAAAATTTCCTTCACGTTCTCATGTTCAGATTTGTCCTTTTAATGTTCCATGGTTGTGGGTTGAGTAGAATAATGTCATCTCATTGTATCCAGTCTTTGAAAATGCTTATTGCGTTCATAGAGTGAGCCTTTCGCTGATTGTTTACAGTTTAACGGAAGTTGCTCCCATAATTTGTGCAAAGCGTCATGGGGCGTAGGAGGGTGGATAGAAGGTGGATAGAAATAAATCTTAGGCACTGCATTTCATTTGATAAGTACCTTGGTGGCCTGCAGGTCCACGGTCTCCAGAAAAAGCTGTCGACTGAGTTCCTCCAGAGCATCCACTTCCTGCTGGATCAGGGAAAGATCTGCAGTGCCAGAGTTAAGAAACATCCCTCAGAGGAACCACAAGTCATAGCAAACTAACTTTCAGCCAGTGGTCCTAAACCGCTGCATCACAAACCAAAAAATGGGTGCTCTCGGTGTCGGAAGCAACAAATACTGTAATACAACATGAAGTGGAAGAAAATACAATCCTGACAACATTAAATTAAGATTTATTGTGGAAGCTTGTTTCTGATTCGGAATAAAATGATTAAAAAATATATACTTTATATCACAAAAAGGAGTTTATATTTCTCTCAATTCTGAGAGAAAAAAAAGTCAGAATTGCAAGACGTAAACTTACAATTGCAAGAAAAGAGTCAGAATTGTAAAATAAAAAGTTGCAATTACCTCTTTAATTCCATGTTGGAAACAAGTCTTAATAGTTTATAGCCAATTTGAATTCAAAAATATGAATACATTTCAATGTTTGACTTGTTTGCTTTTGTGATAACTAAAAATGTATATTGCAAAACCAGTTGAGATTGAGATACATGGTTTTTAGCCAGCAGGTTAACCAGTCTATTTAACATGCACATGCGCGCGCGCGCGCACACACACACACACACACACGGTTGTGTTTCCATGTTTTATGGGGACTTTACATAGACATAATGATTTTTATACTGTACAAACTGTATATTCTATCTCCTTACATCTCCAAAAAACATCACTTGTGATTTATAAGCTGTTTTCCTCATGGGGACTAAAGAATGTCCCCACAAGGACAAGGATTTCGGATATTGCCATATTTGTGGGGACATTTTGTCCCCATAATGGTTTACCAGACACACAAATATATTTTACTGCCCATTAATGCTTTAAAGTAAATTGTTGACGCAGTCCTCTAGGAGTGAACAGGGGTTAAGCGCTTTGCACAGACACTTAGAGCACAATGATGATTAATATACATGATCTCAGAAATGCTCTCCAGTTGCTGGGTCACTCCTAAGTGAGACAGAGGAAGGCCTGTAACTTAGGAACACTAGTATTAGCCTGCTGCCTCAAATAAACGGGGTCATTAAGGATACTCTCACTGCCTGATGGTGAGGAGGTCACACTCTTTATCATCCCCCAAAATCCTGTCTGTTTATTCTGCTCCTCTCCACGCTGGTACATCTGCCTTCTTACCATGGCAATCCTACAAAGAGGCATTAAAAACTTATTAAAAAGAAAAATCTTATTCTGTTATGATAAAACGAATTGAATACAAAACTTATGTTCTTAACTGATTTACTTTTTTTAATGTTCATATAACATCCATATGTGTTGGGTCAGTAGGACTTTTTTTTTTGTAAGAAATAAATATTTTTCTTCAGGGTTCAGGTGATCAAAAGTGACAGTAATAAAGTTACAAAAGATTTATATTTCAAATTAATACCATTCTTTTGAAATTTCTGTTCATCAAAGAATCTTGAAATGTATCACGGGTTCCACAAAATATTAAGCAGCACAACTGTTTTCAACATTGATAATAATATTAAATGTTTCTTGAGCATCAAATCATCATATTAGAATGATTTCTGAAGGATCATATGACACTGAAGACTGGAGTAATGATGCTGGAAATTACATTTTGCCATCACATGAATAAATTACAGTTTTAAAATATATTTATATATAAAAAACGTTATTTTGATTAAATAACTGCAGCTTTGGGGAGCATAAGAAACATTTTAAAAAAATTGTACAACCCCAAACTTTTGAACAGTAATAGCCTATGTTGTGGGTGAGTAATGATGAGAGTATTTTCATTTTTAGGGTGGACTGATTGGATCACTCTATTTATATCGCTTACCTTTTCTTTTTACTGACAATCATGTCCATAGTCTGGAGCAGTCTTCTCTCCAGGGCCAGGATATCACTGTCCGTCACATTTCTGAGCAAACAAACCAAACAAATATCTATTATAAAAAATATAAATACAAAGTTATTTTGTGTGTCTGAGAGCAAAGTTACCTCAGGAAATAAGACATGTATGTATAAGGACAGTTTACAGCACCAAAGCCAGACAGAAGAGCCATCAGTGTGACCCCAATGACCCCCACACGACTGATCAGCTGCTCTATGGACAGAATGCCTGAGAACACAAGAAAGAGATACACATCTACATATTGAGATGGAAAACATAATTTATATTATTAATATATTTACTTTCTTAATGCACACTTAATGTGCATGATTAACTGGTTCCCATTATTCCAAATTAAACAAATAGTTGTTCACATAATCTACTAAAAACTGTTCATATACCAATCAATTCTGTTGTTTTTTTCTTATTATTTTCTTTTTTTAGTGTTTTTAGTGATTAATATTCATGAACCCAGCAGCTCATCCTTAGTGTGGTTTATATTGTTATTAGTAGTAGAATTCGTAGTAGTATTTTTATCTTATGATTATTATAGTTAGTTTTTTTTCATTTCAAACGCGTAATAGATTTGAATTATTATTGTGTAATTATTATTGTGTGATGTTTTTCAGTACAGTTGCACTATTTAAACATTATCTGCACCTTTACAGAAGAAACAGATATCTGCAACTTTTCCATTTCTGCAAGGGCTAGCGTTTGGATTTTTACCGTTTTTTTTTTATTTTTATTTTTTTATTATTATTTAATGTAATTGGTAAATTATAGGAGCGTATTTGATGATGGGTACGTTTTACTGTAGATGTTTCTGAGGCTCTCAAGAATGCATGCAGCTATCACTTGTACTGGTACTATATTTATATCGTCATTGATATAATGATCGCAATAAATACCAGAAAATATTGTGATATAGGTTTAAGTCCTTATCGCCCGTCCCTACCGCATAATTGGGCTTGAACGGTTAAAAACACATACTTAAGTGTCAAAATGCCCATCTTTTTAAGCACCCTCGTAAACACGATAATTTATGTAGTAAGTGAACGTGAACAGTTGAGAAAGAAACATGTGTAACAGTATATTGGATCTACGCATTTGGTCTTAAAGTGACAAGAACAGTGCCTACCATGTTTTGGACTAAGAATAGGGAAAGGATCGCCCAGTTTCCAGAAGAAATACATGAAAGTGAACCAGACCACGCATGAAAAAAGCAACCTTTGTCTATGCACTGTAAGAGAGAAGAAAGCAACATGTGCGGTGCATGAGCAAACTTTGAGCAAATGGAAAAGTTAAGGAATACTGTATAAAGTGAGAACTGAATTTACTTACATAAACGTATATTACTGACCACAAAGTAGCCAATGTAGAAAGGCACCACAAATATTAGAACTAGTAATATTACATACAAATTCAGCTTCCAATGGAAATACCTGGACCTGTTTGGAAACAACCAGCATGTGATCATCTGATCTAAAGTTCTCATCAATGATGATTTCATCAAGTAAATCATGAATACTTACGTGCTGCTTAATGCACCAAGAATCTCAAAGATAATGAGCTCAAACATAGTGCAAGAAAAGGCAAATGTGACAGAGAACACCACCTGCACAACATATTGTCGAACCTGATGAAGAATTGAGAAAGATCACTTGAATGAGAAATACTGAAAGGCCAGTCAACAAAACTGGGTTAAATATACACTTTTATGCACAGTACCTCATAATCTTTAAACAACTGCCGCATGAAAAACAGCCACCCGAACCCGAAAAACAGCACCTGTGTGTAGAAAACTATGTTAGCTGGAGCATTTAATACATTCTTCAAGCTTTTCTATGTGGAACATTATATATTGTAATACAGTCAGCAACCAAAAACCAAACAGCTTCAAAAGTACTTAACTAATGAGCAGATTGTTTGGCCAGAGGATTGGAGAAAATTGTATATTAGGCTAATAATGGAGAAGATCCACACACATAAAGCTCAAAATCAAGTTTAAAATTTTTTTTTTTATTATTATTATAAACTATTTAAAATATCGCTGTGTTTTGTTCAAATGTAAAAGCAAATACATTCCTATGAATATATTGTTATACTAGACATACGGACACAGTCAGCCAGACATATTTTAAAGCATTTGTTTACATAATTTAAATTTAATTGAATCCATTAAAACTTGGTAACGTGTTGTTCATTGTACACTGTATAAAACAATAAAGACATGTTGTTAGCATTGTTCGTGTTAATATGCACTTAATAATGTCAGAGAGGACTTACCTGAGAAGTGAACATAATCACGGAATCTACGAAGAAAGACATGGCGTAGCATGTGGTACCAAGTTAATACACAGAAAATGGCAAACGCACTATCAGCTCATAATGTTACACTTCTCGGTTAATACAGAGAAACAAATATTGAACAGAACAAGTGTCTGACCAAGCTGTCAAGCTGCTGACGTCATGACATGACACACAGGTTTTCCGGCGCACGGTAATGTCATCATCGATTGTTTCGTAATGTGTTCACTAGAGGGCGTCACCACCTCAGAAATGTAGAAAGCACAACCCGGAGCAAACAGACGACACATAAGCTACATCATAAACGCTGTTATGATAGATAGATAGATAGATAGATAGATAGATAGATAGATAGATAGATAGATAGATAGATAGATAGATAGATAGATAGATAGATAGATAGATAGATAGATAGATAGATAGATAGATAGATAGATAGATAGATAGATAGATAGATTTTTTACAAAGAGAGAGAGAGATCATGCTGCTCTTGTGTTAAGAGGAAAGTCTCATCAGACTGAAGCAATATGGAACAGAGAACATGGGTGTCTTGGCTAAATCACATCCTGTGAAAAGCTGTCACCACGCAGCAGTCCCAATGGCCCATTCAGCCTGTGGTGTCATTTTCATAACATATAACGTCACTTACATCATTTGAAGTTATTTTTTCCTTTGCTTTATTCATTTTAGTTAAATGTCAAAATGCAATCAAATTGTATTTTGCATATTGTCTGACCTTTATGGTAATAATTATAAATTTCACCCACAAAAAAGGAACAATTACAAATAGGATCATGTTATAAAGAGCAACAATATTAAACAATGATCAGATGGAGACTTTAGATTTTTGGGATGCAGAATTTTCATGTCTCCTTAAAAAAGTTTCAGAAGGGATCTATACAGTTGTAGCAAAAATGTCCTCTGAAGGCAATTTGAAGTGAACCCAAGTGCAGATTTTATTTAGCATGGGAAAACCCAGACAACTTCCGGCAAATTTAGATTTGCTCTAAAGTTAGTCTGGCAAAGAGCTCATTCAAACCCATTTCCAATCCGTCGAAATCGAGGCACCAATCAGAAACGTTGGGGCGGGCTTTACATGATGACGACAGCGCTGGGATTTTGAAGCAGATTTTGTAGCCTACATTACAAAGATGGATGCCGCCGTCGAACATCACTCGTTCGAATCAGCTATCGCGTCTGTTTTAAGCGATTTGAACGTTTCCTTTTTGTTAAAAACCGAGCAAAGAACAACACTCGGAGATTCTCCGCCACTCTGCATACGTCATCTCCTTCATCGCTCTGATTGGTTTTAGGTCTATCCGCGACGTCCGTTGGTGACGCCCCTCTGGAAATGATTTGTCTATGACGCTTTGCCAGACCATAACTCAGTTACAACTGAGAATGGTCTGGTTTTAACCAGGCTAGCTTTTATTTACAAAGCTTGAACAAATCCAAATAAATAAAAAAACAAGAGGGTGGCATGGCATGGCATGACTTGAATCTAAACCTGAACCTGAATATAAACATGAACTAAACCACGAGAAACCAACAGCAAGTTAAATAAAGTTATAAGGAACAATGGTAACATAAGGGCTGTTTATACACAAATACTAATGACTAACAAGAAACACCTGAAAACAATAAACCAAGAGCATGACACATAAAACAAGGGAACTGATCAGAACATGACAAGACGCTGAATCCGAAATCACCCCCTATACCCTCAAATAGAGCGTTACTTGAGGGGACAGCCATTTGTAGTGGTGTCCGAAACCATAGTGGACGTTATTGAGTGCACTTATTCAATCCCACATTGCACTGCAATAACAAGTGTACAACCGATCAACGGGTGTCCGAATCCGCTCACTCCTTTTCATTCACTCCTTCAAGTGAAAAGTAGTGGACTAACATAGGGAATAGTGAATGAGGGTTTACGGGGTGATTTCGGAAAGCATAAGACAGGATCACATGATGGGATAAAGGAATCACATGGCAAAACCAAGAAACACAGGAACCATGAATACAAAATACAAGACATGAACTTTGAACACCAAAAACAGGCATGACAGGACCTCAAAGACTACTGGACTTGAGACCACAGGACTTGGAAGCACAACAGTCATGGTAGAGATGTTCAATGCTGGACCGAGCTCCTCATCTGCATGCAATATTCCATAATGGCTGGAGGCTCTAGCATGGCGGCCATGACATGACGAGGCTCTATGGCTAGTACTGAAGCATTGCTGGGATTCTCATCCGCAATTCCTACAGTAAGAGAGGATCCGCTCAGTAATAAAGCTAGGTCAATTTATTCCTCAAGGGTTTTTGGTCTGTTGCTTTGGAGCATTAGATAATCCATTTCGGAAAATGCCCTAAAGTGCCACAACATTAAAATCCACCTGGGAACATAGTTCACAAAAACCTCCGCCATAATCCTCAATGACGCGATCACCTTGACGGAGGAGCAGGAGGCGAACTGCTGGGTTCATTGTTGGTGTTCTAGCTTTCTGTAACAAACCTCCACTGAAGGTAAGTTAGTGAATCCAAGTGCAGCTTTTATTACAGAACTTGAACAAAATACAACTAAACAAAACACAACAATGGCATGACATAACTATAATTTGACTTGAACATAAACCTGAATATAAACATGAACTTGAACTTGACACATACTCACTGACAGTAGGTTGTATAAACAAAGCTAGACTTAAGAATTAGACATAGACTTAGAATTAAGGGGGATTGTACTAGGTTGGTGGAGTAAATCATAGATCTTAGGTAGTGTTAATGGTTGTGGCCTTTGCAATGTTTCACTCGTTTCACTTGAAACGGGCCTCACAAGGAGCCTCCACTTGCACTTGAAAAAGAGCCCTGCCATCCTGTCATCACGGAAATGAACGGGGGCTAGGGGCAAAAATGTCCCTAAAATTCAAGATATGGGTAAAAAATGGCCTTGTATGAGCTCTTGTTTTTAATAGTTATAACAGGCAGAATGCTGTTTTCCCGAATATCAGCGCAATTGCAATTGTGACAGCCTATTGATTTCATACAACAGTTCAATAAACAAGAAGTTAGTGTTAGGTGACTTTCATTTTAGTCTTATTATATTTCGCCAATGAAAATAGTTCCAAACAAATCCACTGAGGCGTCTCCAAGCAGACTCCAATTGCAAAGGCCGCCTCTTGGTGGCGGTAATACAGTTATGTGTCTGCGATCCACACAAACAAGAAGAAGAAGGCCATAGATGTGTTCGATTTCGGCTGGATGTAACCGATCGGCGAGAGTTGCCGCTTGCAACTCTTGTCGCTTGTCGGAGACGTTGAAGTCGGACACCAGCATGCACTGCTTTAAGTCAGCCTCCGATCGGTCTACGCAGCGTTGCATTAAGTCGAACAAGCCTCATGACACATGAGACTAGGGAAGCACATGACAGGATCACATGATGGGATAAGATAATCACATGACAAAACCAAGAAACAAAAAGCTGGTTCGACTGATCGGCGGCTGACTTGAAGCAGTGCATGCCGGTAAGAAATTTTGTTCGACTTGAGACGGCGCCGATGCCACGTCACTGTGACATATGCCATCAAAATACCTTCTCAAGAGCGGCTGCCCAAGCTCTGATGACGACACAGCTGTTCCATGATTGTCCCATGAGTCTGACTTCACGTCTCAACAGTTTCTCATACGCATAAAGTCTGCATTGAAAATTCTGAAATTTCACTATTAACTCAAATGTATCAACTTTTTGGGACACTTATATATAATGGTTCCAAAAAGGTTTTTTCACAGCGATGCCATAGAACAATCATTTTGGGTTCCACAAAGAACCTTTCAGTTCTTTAAAGAACCATTTAATTTCTTAGATGTTTCCTCTATAGAACCTTTTGTTCAGTGGAAAGCTTACATGTATGTTAAAGGTTCATCGTGGATCGTAGATGCCAATAAAGAATCTTTACGTTTGAGAGTGTATGCTATCCACATTAATATTTTAGCACTTTACTAGCACTGTGTCAACATTTGTCTAAAAAAAAAACTTTAGGAGAAACATCTGAGAAACAGTTAATACATGTCCTGTGAGCTTCAAAAGACCAATAAACATCTGATTCTTGAAGCGAAACCCGTTGAGAACAGCTGCTTTAGCCAACCACCACTCTTCTTTTGCTACAAAGAAAATAAGCTTTAAGTCAAGACCTCCCACAACACCACAAAAGGCTTGACTTCTTCACGGCCCCTGAAGTGCTTCTTGACAGTGCTGAGGTGTGAATTGAAACAGATGCTCAGGTGTCCCTCGGCACTGTCAGCAGACTATTGGAGGTGACAGAAAGTTTTCTAATTCATTGGCTGATTTATTTATATACTGTAGGAGTCCATGTCTGATGTGTGGGGAAGCATCCGCCGTGGAGACTGCGAAGCGATGCATGCGAAAAAAAAGTGTTTCTAATGAGCTTTTGGGACTCTTGGGAAGTCAGTATTCTTTGAATGTGAGAGAGCTTAAGAAACACAGATCTCTCAGGCCTCTTTCAGATCCTATCTTTTATTTTCATATTTACAAATTTGTACAGCAACACATTGATTGTCTGGAGGTATTTCTCCTTTTCATGTGAATATGCTTTGTATATTCTAATTGAGAAAACACTGAACACAACAAAGGGTCCCACTTTATATTAAGTGGCCCTAATACCTGTGAACTTACATGGTTACTAGATATGTACTTAGTATGTAACTACAGTGTAAATACACATTGGTACATAGTATTTACAACTGTAATATTTGTGTAACTACACATATGTAACAACCCACTGAAAGGTATGTGTAAGTACAAATGTGTAACAGGACATTGGTAACAACACGTTTTCCACTACAGTAAGTACACATGTGTAACAGGCATTATGTAACTACATTTTGTAACAACAATATGTATTCACACAAGTTGTTCCACTTCCACACGCAGTCTTCCATACTGTAGTTACCAGTTAAGAACACACTGAAACCATGATGATTCCTATGTGTATACCATGTATTTACTATATGACCGGCAGGACTTATGTTGAATTACAGCTAAAGTTTTCCCTTGTGGTACCAGTGTACATACATGGTAACTCCTCAGGAACTCTGCACTTGATACAATGTGTC